AAGGGAAATCCACAGATATAAATCAACAAAGCTTCCAAATAAAATAAAATAAAAATGCATATAGCAGTTACTGAAGTATATTTCACTGCGTGTCTTAATTCCCCACCCATAAAACCCTATAAACACCGTTTTCGTAGGACAACATGCTGGAAGTAGGGATTAATGAGTGGGACTACATAAGCTACTTTTGTCTTTTTCAATTGTGGGCTTCTATGATAGACGCGCGCGCGGGCACACATACCCATAAGCAATAGAAGGCTGGAGTGAAAGAAAGATGCAGACAATTCATTACAAAGTCAGTCTGCCGCGCCGAGACGCGCAAGTAAAAAAATAAGACTGAGACGAAGAAAGCACGCAAAATCACTACTTTTCTCCACCCCCCTGTGGCCTCCAGGTTTGCCAATTGGGAAGGAAGAGAGTTAGGCACGTGGTCGCGTCAGTTAGAACTAACCGCAATGACAGCAGCCAAATCCACCCGAGGGACTGCAGAGTGATGTTTCGCGCAGAGTTTCTCGAGGATCCAAAATGACAGTCGACAGCGTGGCCCTACTGACCAAAGGCAATACTCACAAAGGATTCTGTTAGTCTTGTCATTTAAAATCAGAGAATTCCAACCCCCCCCCTAGCCAACGCGAATATTCCGTAGAGACAATAGCGTAGAGATCAGCCGAGATATTGACCTTAGAGACCAGAGTCAGGAAAGAGTCAGCAGAGAAATCGGATTTTTCGGAAAGGCAGTTTTACGACTCGTGAGAAGTTTACAGGAAAAGAGTGCGAAAGAAGCCTTCAGCCCCTCATCTAGACTGTACAGGATCAAAGACAGAAGGGTGAAATGAAACAGTTGCAACATAGAGGAAGGAATTCAAAACTCACCATTTGACCAGGCAATTAGACGCGATAGGTGAAAATGTACAATGGCGCAGATGGACTCGATAAGGTCTTCCATCATTAGGGGTCTCGGTACATCCGGTCCTGCGATTATGTTCAGGGCGATGAGAGCACTGTCGAGACCACGGAGAACACGCAGCCATATTGGATGAGACCAGAGGAGAGACTCGCTGAGCTGCTCCTTCTCCGTCACATCACCCTGACGATGGTGGTGGTGACGTTGAAGACGCGCTTTTCGGCGGCGCAATAACTCGCGAAAGTCAGACTGCAGAACGGATGAGAAAAAGGAAATATAGCAAGCATACCACTAATAACTTCAACAGAAGCCAGCAGAATAAAAGTCAAACAGGGGCAAACAAACAGACGGACGTACTTTTGCAGAGTATTATTGCTCCAGTGCAGACTGGTTATGTCGCAACAGTGAATGAGGCTCATAGGCTTAAGGAAAGGGCAATGGGGGGATGTGTTAGATGATGAAATGGTAACGTGTTAAAGAAAAGCGGCTGGCGACCGATGTCCTCGAATTGTCGACCTCCGGGTAGACGGCAACCCGAATAAATAACGACCGCCGCCTTGCAGAACTGGACGAAGCCAAATTTCTCGGGGCTAAGTGTTGTCCGAATTCGGAGTACCTGAGCTGGAGTATGCCGATGACACTGTCGTACTTGGTAATACCCCTCAGTCACTACAGCCCGCGCTAGAACGAATCATCAGCTTCGCTGTAACTGTTGGTCTGACGATTAATATACGCAAGACGAAATTCCTGACATTCCTGAAATTCTTGGCACAGTACAACCACTAGTTATCAGTGGTCAGCCCATCGGAGAAATTAGTTGCTTCCGCTATTTGGGTTCGAATATGCTAGCCGACAGGCAGGCCAAAGAAGAAATCAGAAAACGAATCGTACAGGCTTTGAGGTTGCTAGCTAGACTACTCTAGTCTCGCTCAGACATCAGCTTACGTACCAAGCTGTTGATATAAAGAGCATCCATCGGAGCGGTGTTAGCATATGTTTGCAAAACATGGCCATTCAGAAAGACAGACAGAGATTCTATCGCTCGAAGTCTTCGACCGTTGGCGTATTTGACGGCTCTCAAGAGTCTCCTGGCAGGATCGAATTTCCAATGTTCAGCTATATCACAGGTGTTTCCAATTACCAAGTCTGTCATCACACATTTAGCATCGCCGATTGCAGTGGCTTGGCCATTTCCTGCGCAATTCATCGGCAGACCTCTGCAGCATGGTCGTGAATACCTCTCGTATTGCAAACTGGAGATACCGACATGGCAAGCAACCGAAGACGTAGCTCAACACTGTCAAATTGGACGTCGAACGTATGGGACTCGTGGTTATTTGGGACTTGCAACATTGGAACAAGC